AAAGCATTAGTTTTACGTAGATACCTGTCCGCCTGATCCCCGTCTCCTCCTGCTGTTTGTGACTTAACCTGCAGTGGGACAGCAAAGGCTTTCTTGATACCTGCAGCAGCGTGAGGGAACTAATGGGGTGGGCTGGGTAACAGTCCAGCAAGAGGGGGCAGAGCAATGCCTTGGCTACAGGCTCCATGGGGGAGTCTCCCCTTCAGGCAGCCAGCTTGTAGGGAACAGGGAAACTAGAAGGGTGGGACATGTCTAGCATAAGACAATGGGAACTCACTTATTTCTTCTTCAAATAGGAGGACAAAGCCTCCAGTATTGTAGAAGCCCCATGTTCTCCATGTAGTCATAGATGGAGACTGGAGGCATCCCCTGGATTCAGGCAGCACAGTGAGGTGTTTTACACCCCTGCCATTTCCCTTCCTTTCTCTTCCTGTGCCTTCCCAAAACTCCAGGGCAGCAGCTGCTCCCCATTCCCAGGTTTTAATTTCCTGCACTTATGTGGGACAAATAACTTTTGCCCTGTACTCTCCCTCCAGCCCTGCGCTGGGAGCTAAGCTAACGGCAGGAACCAGGGACGGCTTTAACTTCTGTACTAAAGAGGACAGCCTTGGCATCTGAAGCTTGTGTGGGCTGCAACAAGATGCTGAAAAGCAACAATATCTATGAGATAACTGGCAAGTTCCTCACTGACCCTGATGAGTGCAGGATAAAACTGGGAGACCAGGGTTTCCAACCATCCAACCAGGATGTTTTGATCATTGCAAAGGCTACTCCTTTGATCCATGAATGGAGATAACCTGCTGCAGGATGCAAAAGCTCTTTACAGGTAAGACATGAAAGAAATGTGTGAATTGGTAAGTATGTGATACCACACCTCCTGTGACTACTGAAGTGGATTGAATAAAATGAGGGCTCTCTGCTATTTGTACATTTCGTAAAAAATTTGTGTATTTTTAGCACTTTGTGGAATGAAACAAGTTTTATGTGCTTTCTATTAAATACTGCTGGCAAATGGCTGTGAGTTAAAACCTTTTAACCAGCAGAGTTAAAAACACAGCCTCAACTTGCCCTGTTTTTTTCTTCTTGCTGATACCTACCTTTCCACAGTAATATCTGAATGATTTTGCTATACACTTCCCTTTTGTTTAAGGAAAAAAGTTGACTCTCTCACTTGCTCAGTCTGTATTTACGCTAAACAGTGCATTTCATAAAGGAAGGGAAAGCAGTACAGTTGTCTGCTTGACAAGCTAAAGGGAAAGGTTTTTAACAGTTATGGAAAAAAGACATTGTAAAACACAGTTTATAAATCAACGTTCTAGAGAGAGATCTTTATCAAAGCACTTTATGGATGTAAACACATCAATCTTAAGCATGGCCAGAAGACTGAAATAACTTTTTTTTACTAACTGTTCCCAGTGCATGACACACTCTCCACCCAAGAAGCACGAGAACTTCACTGCCATTGAAGCATGAAATTCCTCCTGTCACTTCTTCCATGGACAGTTAGGCTGTCTCTGGATACAAAGCTGCTTCCCTGTCACTCATGATGAAATTGGGGGGTGAACAGTCTTCAAACGTTTCAGGTTGCTGGCACTTGGCAGCAGTGACAGTATGGGAGCAGCTGGAAAGACATCCATTTCCTGCCAGGGGCAGGACTGTGTGGGCAGCCCCATGTATGTGTGCAGTGGTGGAGTCCGAGATGCATGAACTGTGTTGGTCTGTGGACTGCCAGGGCAGGTTATTCCAGTGCACAACACAGCCAGCGGCCCCAGGGAGCTCATGTTGCAGTGTTTGCAGATTGGGAGTAGTGAATGCCATTCAGCCACTCCTGGAAGGCTCTGCCCAGAGCCTAGGAATGGAAAACAGATGTCTGCTTCTGGCTTTTTTCCCAAACTTGATTTGAATGAGGCCGTTTGTATTCAGCACAGCTGCTCTAAAGGGTCATAGTTTCAGAAGGAATGTGACCTATTACAAAGCATTCCAGACGCTAAATTTAGGGGTAGCTTTTTGGGAAAAGTCTGAAACAAAATATTTGTAACAAATTAATGTTTTCTTCTCCTGCTTTTTTCTCCATACAGCAGAAGCCAGCTAATAATTATTTAAACCAGGGAACTGAAGATTTTTCCGGCACTATGTTCTTTCAGCAAGTATCCAAGCTGAGGAAGCCTGCACAGCAGGACCTGTGATCTTCAGCAAAGCAACTGTGGTTTGTCCTTATTGTTGTTTCTGTCACCTCATAAATAACATCCACATCACTTAAAGAAACACTTGGATCTAAAGTAACAGAATTCTTCAACCCCACGTAGCAGAAGTCAGACCTTTTCTTTGATGTCCCACAATAGAGTCCCTTTACTGAAAAGTCATCCCTCCACTAAGTACTATACATTTAAACCTCTAACCACATACCAAAAAGGTAAGTGCACCCCTAGGGTTACTATGCACAACGTGCCTCATAAGGCAAGTACCAACATCCCAATAACTTCTTTAACAAAATTACTACGTAGTGGTGAAGCCAAGCAGAGAGATTAAACAAACCGTAATTTACTGATTCCTTCTCTCTTTGGAGTGCAGGTTGAAGCAATCTCTTGGCATCTTAGTCATCCTTCTGTTTGTAGGCACGTATCTGTATTTCTTTCTTTCCCAAAATCTAGGAGGTCAAAATTAATTTTCTATTTAAAAAAAAAATCAGAAAACAAAATCAAACCAACCAACCGTGTTGCCTATGAGCTGCCAGCATATGTTGCCATGGCTGAAGTTTCACTTGTGGTGCAAAGGTTGGCAATGTCAGAAGTAATCAGTTCAGTGATTCAGCAAGAAAGGCAGAGAAGATAGTATTAACAGCTGGGTCATTCTGCTTCTTTCCCAATATTAAAACTACATAAATTTGTCTTTATTTACAGTTGTTTTCACACATCAAAGCAAGTGCTGATCATTCAAAGGATGCTAAGCCAGATAAGCAAATTAAGGCTGTTGCAGGGCTGGCTTTCTGTAGAAACCCTGTGCAAACTGAGTGCCTCATTTCTGAAACAGGAAGATTTGGATTTGTTTCTGTCCTATTTTGCTATGTGACTTTAGATGTCACACCTACATCACCACCACCTCAGTTTGTCCCACTTTGACCTAAACAGAACTAATTTTCTATTTAGTGATTTTACTTTTCAGCTCGGTCTCTTCTAAATGGCTATACCTGCTGAAACTAACAGCATGTTTTTCCAGACACTGTTCACTTCTACAAGTGATAGTGCTTGTATGTTATGTAAACAGGGCAAGTACACTGTCTCACCATGGGTGCTGTATTCACACCTCTGAGGGGGAGCAGACAGAACAGATGACCCAAAACTGACCAACTAGGTATTCCAACCCCCATAAGTCATACTCAGTATAAAACTGAGGGACCACGAGGGTCTCTTCTCTCCTTCTCTTCTCTTCTCTTCTCTTCTCTTCTCTTCTCTTCCCACGAAGTCCAAGCAGAACCCTGCCAGTACGTCTGCCTTTGATTCTGATCCATGTGTTCCTGAATCCAGTTCCTGCATCCTGTTCCCCCACCTGCTCCTGGGTCTGGTCTAGGGCTTTTTCCAGTGCCCTGCTCTGCATAGCCTCTGGCGATGTAATCGTCATTGGGAGGGGGTGGGGGGAGGATTTTATAATTTTTTAAATATATACAAATATGTACAAATGCATATATCTAATTATTTTTCTATTTACATTATTATCCTGTAGTATTAGTATCATTGTTTCATTAAATGTTAGTTTTCTTTTCCAACCCATAAAGTCTCTCTCCCTTATTCTCTTACTCTTCCCTTCTGGGGAGGGGAGAGGGATTAACAGAGAGCGTCTGTCCAGCATTTAGTGGCTGGCCCAGCCCTAAACCACGACACAGTTCCCTCAGCTGTTCAAAACAGACTAGACTGGACTACTAGGCAGTGGCTTACATAGTGTTCATAAGCTTCACCATTTTTAAAACAGCACATGAGATGCTCCAAGAGAAAATACTACTGAAATGTAAAGCATTACCATCAAAGATGTGAGCACAATCTACTTTTTAAAAAATGTATTAGTTACTCGCTAGATAACTGATGATGACAACGGTAACACTGCATACGTATAGGCACCAAAATACCTGACAGGATTTCTTCAACAGGTTGTTATTTTTCCAATTAGAAATTATTAGAAACATCTTTTACAAAAGTTCAAATTAATTCTGCAATTCCATCTTAATGAACTTTGCCATTGTCAATTTCTACCAAAGAGAATAGTTTAGTAAATGCCACACTTCCCAGACTAGAAGCACAGGCTAGGTATTATTACTAAATCTCAAGATGTTTAAAGCAAAAATTGTCATTTAGCTGTCAAACTTTGCCAGGAAAGTCCTTCTGTAGAGGGTAGCTGGACTGTTCATACTGAAAACTGTAAATGACTCCCTCCTATACTGTGGCAGATGCACTGGGGAGGGAAGGGGGGGGGAACCCAAACCAAACCCTACCTCGAAGACACTGTATTTCCTACTACAAGCTGTAAGTAATTAAAAATAAATCACATTTTATACAGGTCTGAAGAGCTCTCCATATTTGGCTAATCCAAGTTAATATGAAAAAAGGGCAAATTATTTAGAAACCATTTACGCTTACTGCTAAAATGTGTTACAACTTTGTACACATGAACTTAGAAGACTTTTGATATCTGAAGCTAAAATTATATTAGCAGCCCAAAACAGTCATATGAAGGTAAAGATTTTAACTGACAATTAGCCTGGAGTACTTGTAAAGTCCCCTGTGCAAAATCTACTTCTAAAATGCAGTTTATAACTATTTTTGGATAGTGAGAAACCTGTTAAAAACAGGTTGAAACAAATAATTTTAAAGAAAAATCCTGCCTATGCAATAACTAATAAGATTTAACAGTCAATTTTTATTCTATTTTTGTAGCTGTCTATAAGCTAATTTATCATATACTATTTTTTGTAGGAGTAATGAAACATTTCTTTAAGAAAATCCAAACTATTTTATTTTGCTCACAGACATATGGATATTGTAACACTAGCATCACCACTTCATATACAAAATTAGTTTAACACAGCAGAATACCAACGATTTCCTCATTGGACAGTTATGATCGAGCAGACAAACACTGATTCACTACTTCCAGTAAGTGAGAGTTTTCCAAAGCAGCTGCTACACGTTCTTTATCAGCAAGCTGTTTATTAACTGTGCAGAAAAAAAACACCACAAGAAACTGGTCAAAACAGTGGTAGAGTATCTTTTATAAAGCATTTTACACTGAGATATTTACATAAGCACACTGTTCCTATGGTACTCAGGGAGACTAGTAATTCTGCAGAATTGCAGTCTGAAGTCAAAACTACCATACTACTGTAAGTTAAACCAACAAACCCTTTACAATTCATCAGCAGGGAGCTATGTATGTGTAGGTGTTAATACAAGAAGAAATTTCACCCCAGCCTCTCCCCGTTTTCTGAGTCTTCCCTGACCCGGGCAAATCAATGCCTAGTTGAGAGCACAGATTGCCTGAGATGTTTAAAGCACGGTACAGAACATAACTAAGCGTCATCATTACACACCGCTGCTCTGTCATGTTCTTCAGAAGCTGATGCATGCAAAGTCCCAGATACTAAACAGCTGCTCTGCAGGTGTGGAAGTCTTTCTGCTCTCTAATTTTCAAAATTTAAAAAACAAAGACAACTACACAACAGAGCACTAAAAACCTTACCTGCATGCTCAGAAGCATGTGTTCCTGGTGTTATATGGACATCCAGCTTAAAAAGCATCACAAAAGAAAAAGGAGACAAGTAAACAAAACACTGGAAGCTCAAGTCCAAACTATTTAATAATAAAATTAAGACAATAACAAAAAGAGGAGGAAAAGGACATTCTTGCCAATATAATTTACTGTATATAGTAGAATAAAAGTCTAAAATCACAATATGTTCTGCATTCCCATCTGTTAACCCTGTTTCAGACACGGGTGTGAGGCACCAACCTCGCCTCATCCCATGCTGTAGAGCACTGCAGGTACCTGCGCTCCATAGCCCCACTGGCCCTTGATGTGACTGTCACAGAACTGCAATTCTGCATTGGTGTTTTAGTCTGCTGCCCCCTCTGGTGCCTGGAGTGCTTCCCCCTCCCGTAATATGAAAAAACAAAAGTAGCTATTTTTCACTGTAAGTTAGTTAGCTCTTTTTTATTGTCCTGCCACCCCCCCCCGGTTTTTTCTTTTCAAACACAATGCTCCCATTTTGCTTTCCAGAGTGATTTGATTACTCACCTTAAATCTCTCAGGCAGAGATCTGATCAATTTTACTTTGATGGAGAGGCCGATTAACGTCGCCATGCTGCAGTGAGGAATGGTGGGAGTGAACTCCACGGCCACCGTGCTCTCTGCGTCATTCACCTGTTGAAAACCAAACATTTCGCATGTGCGGAACTGCCGGCCTTTCCCCCAAGCTAGCTAGGCGCATTTTACGTGAAATGCAACTTGAAGCTGTACTTTGCTGCTTAATTTTCTGCACTGCTGTTTTTAAATACTATGTTTAGCTGCAGTAGACTTCTATAATAAACCTCTTTCAATGTTAGAAAAAAACAGTTAATCAGCAGGCAGAGCAGCACAGCCCTGCAGCACAGCCCGCATCTATCGGGCGGCAGCGCCGACATCCGCGCAAGCGGGACGAGCAGCGTATCCTAGCGGGGATCTCACCTTCACCCGCACTTGCTCGACGACGTTCAGCTCCTCCAGGGTGAGGGGGTGCTCGGGGTCGTTAATGGAGCGGATGAGATGTTTCCGGGTTAAGGAAAGCGGAGCGAAGCCGCACCGACCTGGCCTGCGCCGCTACCCTTGCCCGCCCGCCCTCGGCCCGGCCCTCCCGTCCCAGCAGGATATCGAAGATCTCCCGATCATCGATGGAGTCGGGCAGCTCGTCGTCCTCCTCCCGCGCCGTCACCGGCCGCTCCCCCGAGCGGCGGTA